GGATGTTTTTCAACAGACATTGGCGACGTGGTAGGGAAGGGGTGGAATTTAAGGGTAGTTTACCATCATGACGGGCACATTTTGCGGGTTACTGACTTCAAATCAAAGTTTTATCTTGTTACGACATTTGAAGACCTTGAAGAATTCAAGGTTAGTTTATAGGAAAATAGTACATAGCCAGATTTCCTTTTAGCGTCTTTGGTGAAGTGAGTGAATGTTGTTTTACGTCATTGCAATTTTTCTGCTATATCATGTCAGCCTGCAAATAATCCTGCACCATCAACTACCTACGGCGTTGCACGTTTTCGTGAACACCTGGTGTCATCACTATTTGATAGTAATTCATTAACAGATGCTCATGATACAGTCGGAATTATACAATCCACTCTTTCAGAAGAGATTTCTTATGAATACAGATGCCACCAATTCCATTTACAGATGCCACCAATCAACAGGTTCCATATTTTCATCGGCTTTTACCGCGATTCGCTGTGCAGAGTTGCGTCCCTTGGGAGCCAGAAACCTATGAATGTGGGTTCGAATCCCGGTTCGCATCCATGGGCGGATTGTATAAATTACCACCAAAGACAATAAATAGATCTTAATTGTGCACCCCCAAACTCACTTACTCACTCACTCACTCATCGGCTCTTACGACTATCACGAGAACCGGGGATCTCGTTTCCCCCGGAATGTCACGGGGGACGGGTGGATAGGGGGGATGGAACAGGAGGTGTTTGTGCCGCGGAGCACGTCGTCATCAAATTATATTCATCCAAACTGATTCCACCGATAGTGCTTTCAAAAACAGTTGGCACACCACCAATAACATACCTGTCGAACAAAGACCTGGAAAGAAGAATGTTCGATGACCTCTCTCTGTGAACCCCATAATACGTCTAGTCATCTACGGAAGATATTTTATGTCGGGAACGACTCAACTCCCTACAAAAAAACTGAGCTGATATGGCTTTACTGGCGCTTTGATGTTTAAAACAGGGAAAAGTGGAGACCGAAATCAAAAGTCTGTTTTAATGTTTTATGTTTCCTTATTTGGAATAAAATGCAGTTGATTTCAACCGTCTGTGATTTGGCACGCACTCTATTTTGCGCGTGGCAATAGCTTTGAAATTACCCACAGAAGCACAAATGGCACGTGACATGATATCAGGTGTTCAGATCACGGGGATCCGCATTACAGTGGAGACACCTTAAGTTGGCGAGACGGATTTTGTTCTGAGGCGTGGGAGATGAGACAGTAAGACGAGTAAACTGATTTTAGACGTTGGTAGTGACATGGGACACCATAGTAGAGACAATTGAAGTGACGTGAGACACAATGGTAGAGACAATTGTAGTGACGTGAGACACAATGGCAGAGACAACTGTAGTGACCTGAGACACAATGGCAGAGACAATTGGAGTGACATGAGACACAATGGCAGAGACAATTGTAGTGACGTGAGACACAATGGCAGAGACAATTGAAGTGACATGAGACACAATGGCAGAGACAATTGAAGTGACATGAGACACAATGGCAGAGACAATTGTAGTGACGTGAGACACATTCGCAGAAACAACTGTAGTGACCTGAGACACAATGGCAGAGACAATTGGAGTGACATGAGACACAATGGCAGTGACAACTGTAGTGACGTGAGACACAATGGCAGAGACAATTGAAGTGACATGAGACACAATGGCAGAGACAATTGTAGTGACGTGAGACACAATGGCAGAGACAATTGGAGTGACATGAGACACAATGGCAGAGACAATTGAAGTGACATGAGACACACTGGCAGAGACAACTGTAGTGACCTGAGACACAATGGCAGAGACAATTGGAGTAACATGAGACACAATGGCAGAGACAATTGTAGTGACGTGAGACACAATGGCAGAGACAATTGAAGTGACATGAGACACAATGGCAGAGACAATTGAAGTGACATGAGACACAATGGCAGAGACAATTGAAGTGACATGAGACACGATGGCAGAGACAATTGTAGTGACGTGAGACACAATGGCAGAGACAATTGGAGTGACATGAGACACAATGGCAGAGACAATTGAAGTGACATGAGACACACTGGCAGAGACAACTGTAGTGACATGCGAGTCAATGGCAGAGACAATTGAAGTGACATGAGACACAATGGCAGAGACAATTGTAGTGACGTGAGACGCAATGGCAGAGACAACTGTAGTGACCTGAGACACAATTGCAGAGACAACTGTAGTGACGTGAGACACAATGGCAGAGACAACGGTAGTGACGAGACAATGGTAGTGACAAGAGACACGATGGTAGATACAATGGTAGTGACAAGAGACACGATGGTATAGACAATTGTAGTGACGTGAGACAGAATGGTAGACAATGGCAGTGACAACATATGACACGAGGGTAGAGACAATGGTAACGACAACATGAGACACGGTGGTAGAGACAATGGTAGTGACAACATGAGACACGGTGGTAGAGACAATGGTAGTGACAACATGAGACACGGTGGTAGAGACAATGGTAGTGACAACATGAGACACGTCGGTAGAGACAATGGTAGTGACAACATGAGACACGGTGGTAGAGACAATGGTAGTGACAACATGAGACACGGTGGTAGAGACAATGGTAGTGACAACATGAGACACGATGGTAGAGACAATGGTAGTGACAACATGAGACACGGTGGTAGAGACAATGGTAGTGACAACATGAGACACGGTGGTAGCGACAATCGTAGTGACAACCTGAGACACGTCGGTAGAGACAACGGTAGTGACAACATGAGACACGTCGGTAGAGTCAATGGTAGTGACAACATGAGACACGGTGGTAGAGACAATGGTAGTGACAACATGTGACACGATGGTAGAGATAATAACAGTGACAACATGAGACGGTGGTAGAGATAATGGTAGTGACAACATGAGACACCATGGTAGAGACAATGGTAGTGACAACATGAGACACGGTGGTAGAGACAATGGTAGTGACGTGAGACACGGTGGTAGAGACAAGGGTAGAAACACGATAAACACCCCAGTGAGTGAGTGAGTATTGTTTTACGCCGTTTTAGCAATACCCCACCTACATGTATATCACGGCGGGGCAACAGAAATAGGTTTTACACGTTGTACAAATGTTGGGAATCGAAACCGAGCATTCGGCATGACGAGCGAACGCTTTAACTACTAGGCTACCCCACCGCTCCATATACAGTGGGGTCTCAGTGAAGGGGAGACGGGGTGTGGCACATAAACAGTTTAACATCGTGAATGCAGCGGCAGGTGGATCTAATGGGAGACTTAGGGCAGACCAGCGCTGGAGTAATGCGAGTCTTGCACCTCACATCCTAATGTATGTAGATCAGCTAGACAGATAAATGTCTTGCAGTGGAGGAGGTAGACAGCCATCTGTAGAGATCTGGCTAGCACACAGGTGGAGGGATAACTGATAAACCATTGTAAAGCCAGAGCCAGGTACGGAGGAGAGACACGGGGAGGGACCGGAGTAGAGGCAAGAGGAGACAGGAGGAGAGGCACATGAGGACAGGAAGAGAGACACGGGAAGAGACAGGATGAGTGGCACATAGGGAGAGACAAGATGAGAGATACGGGGAGAGCCTGGAAGTGAGAAACAACGAGAGACGAGAAGTGAGAACAGGAAAAGAGGCTGAGAAATAGGATGAGAGACACGGGGAGAGACAGGATGAGAGGCCCCGTGAGGGACAGAATGGGAGACACAGGGAGAGACAGAATGGGAGACACATGGAGGGAGGGAATGAGACACAGGAAAAGACAGAAAGTGAGACATGGGGAGAGACAGGATGTGAGACCCCGTGAGGGACAGAATGGGAGACACAGGGAGAGACAGAATGGGAGACACATGGGGGGAGGGAATGAGACACAGGAAAAGACAGAAAGTGAGACATGGGGAGAGACAGGATGAGAGACCCCGTGAGGGACAGAATGGGAGACACAGGGAGAGACAGATTGGGAGACACATGGAGGGAGGGAATGAGACACAGGAAAAGACAGAAAGTGAGACATGGGGAGAGACAGGATGAGAGACACGGGGAGAGACAAGGAATGAGACTCAGGGGAGACAGGAAAAATGACATTTGGAGAGACAGGAAGTGAGACACGGGGAGAGACAGGCTGAGAGACACGGGGAGAGACAGGGAATGAGACAAGGGGAGGCAGGAAGTAAGACACATGGAGAGACAGGAAGTGAGACAGGATAAGAGACAAGAAGAGAGACAGGCTGAGAGACACGGGGAGAGACAGGGAATGAGACAGGATAAGAGACAAGAGGAGAGACAGGGAATGAGACAAAGGGAGGCAGGAAGTAAGACACATGGAGAGAAAGGATGAGAGACAAGGGGAGAGACAGGAAGTGAGACAGGATAAGAGACAAGAGGAGAGACAGGGAATGAGACAAAGGGAGGCAGGAAGTAAGACACATGGAGAGACAGGAAGTGAGACAAGGGGAGAGACAGGAAGTGAAGCACGGGGAGTGACAGGGAATGAGACACATGGGAGACACGGGGAGAGACAGGCAATGATACAAAGCGGAGACAGGAAGTAAGACACATGGAGAGACAGGATGAGAGACACAGGGAGAGACAGGCTGAGAGACAGGGAATGAGACACAGGGGAGACAGGAAATATGACATGGGGAGAAACAGGATGAGACACGGGGAGAGACAGGACGAGAGACATGCGGAGAGACAGCAAGTGAGACACAGGGAGAGACATGATGAGAGATAGGATACGAGACAGGATGAGAGACATAGGGAGAGACAGGAAGTGAGACATGGGGAGAGACAGGTAGTGAGACTGGGAGAAATAGGAAGTGAGACAAGATAAGAGACACGGGGAGAGACGGCATGAGAGACAGCGTGAGAGACACGGGGCAGGATACACAGGAGGACAGACGCAGGGGAGACAGGAAGTGAGACACGGAGAGAGACAGGGGAGACAAGATGAGAGACGAGAGAGAGAGGCTGAGAGACGGGATGAGAGACACGGGGGAAAAGAGGAGAGACATAGGTGGAGATAGGAGGAGAGACAAGGGGGAGACAGGAGGAGAGACACGGGGGAGACAGGAGGAGAGACACGGGGGAGACAGGAAGAGAGACAAGGGGAGACAGGAGGAGAGACAAGGGGGAGACAGGAGGAGAGGCACGGGGGAGACAGGAGGAGAGGCACGGGGGAGACAGGAGGAGAGACACGGGGGAGACAGGAGGAGAGACAAGGGGAGACAGGAGGAGAGACACGGGGGAGACAGGAGGAGAGACAAGGGGGAGACAGGAGGAGATACACGGGGGAGACAGGAGGAAAGACACGGGGGAGACAGGAGGAAAGACACGGGGGAGACAGGAGGAGAGATGTTGCTGCTATATTTCAAAAGAAAGGAGTATCGCCACCTCGCAGTTACAAATGACAAGTTTTGTTACAAATAATGCATTATTTTCACAGCTGGTGTACTCCGGTCGGCCGTGAGAAACTACCTCAATATGCATACCTACATCAGGGGAAGTAAACCACCTCCTTCAACCGCAGCCCTTCAAGTAGAACAGCGCTGACAGCTTCGAGATACGGGAGACGTTTATGCGCTCTTTAGAAACGCGTCCACCTGTGGATATAGGAAAGTACAACTGAATAACATATGATTGTAGGTGGCACTAGTTTTCTTACTTGTCAAAGACATACAAATCCTTAAATCACGTTGCATTTGCTTGTGCCATCATAACTACAAGCAATAACTGTTAATTCAGACGTTTCTCATTCCGATACTGGTAATTGGGGGGGGGGGGGGGGGGGGGGGGGGGGATTCTTGTATAACGCCACCACACTCCAGCTATATTTATATTAATATTCCAGAAATGTGACGGCGTACATTATCGGGTTACAGACAAAAAAAATGATTGATATTGTGAGCAACGGACAACCTATCGGGGTACGTTAACAAGCATGAACCAAGTCGCCCTGTCTGACCACCCTATACACTTGGCCGTCTTTTAGGACCGGCATAGGTTTCTTTAACTCGGAATCACCCGTAGTAGTCGGGTGTCGTCAGGTGACGTTGGGTGCAGTCTGTTACTCGGGTGTAGTCGGGTGAAGTTGGATGGCTGTAGTTGATATAATTTATAAGGTCGGATGTAGAGGGGTATTATTGGCTGAAGTCGGGTGTAGAAGGGTATAACGCACAGAAGTCGGGTGCAGTGAGGTATAATTGAATGAAGTCGGGTGTAGTGAGGTATAATTGAATGAAGTCGGATGTAGTGAGGTATAATTGAATGAAGTCGGGTGCATTGAGGTATAATGAATGAAGTCGGGTGCAGTGAGGTATAATTGAATGAAGTCGGGTGTAGTGAGGTATAATTGAATGAAGTCGGATGTTTGAGGTATGATTGAATGAAGTCGGGTGTAGTGGGGTATAATTGATAAAGTCGGGTGTAGTGGGGTATAATTGAATGAAGTCGGGTGTAGTGGGGTATAATTGAATGAAGTCGGGTGTAGTGAGGTATAATTGAATGAAGTCGGATGTAGTGAGGTATAATTGAATGAAGTCGGATGTAGTGAGGTATGATTGAATGAAGTCGGGTGTAGTGGGGTATAATTGATAAAGTCGGGTGTAGTGGGGTATAATTGAATGAAGTCGGGTGTAGTGGGGTATAATTGAATGAAGTCGGGTGTAGTGGGGTATAATTGAATGAAGTCGGGTGTAGTGAGGTATAATTGAATGAAGTCGGGTGTATTGAGGTATAATTGAATGAAGTCGGGTGCAGTGAGGTATAATTGAATGAAGTCGGGTGTAGTGGGGTATAATTGAATGAAGTCGGGTGTAGTGGGGTATAATTGAATGAAGTCGGGTGTAGTGAGGTATAATTGAATGAAGTCGGGTGGAGTGAGGTATAATTGAATGAAGTCGGATGTAGTGAGGTATAATTGAATGAAGTCGGGTGCATTGAGGTATAATTGAATGAAGTCGGGTGCAGTGAGGTATAATTGAATGAAGTCGGGTGTAGTGAGGTATAATTGAATTAAGTCGGATGTAGTGAGGTATAATTGAATGAAGTCGGGTGTAGTGGGGTATAATTGAATGAAGTCGGGTGTAGTGAGGTATAATTGAATGAAGTCGGGTGTAGTGGGGTATAATTGAATGAAGTCGGGTGCAGTGAGGTATAATTGAATGAAGTCGGGTGTAGTGGGGTATAATTGAATGAAGTCGGGTGTAGTGGGTATAATTGAATGAAGTCGGGTGTAGTGAGGTATAATTGAATGAAGTCGGATGTAGTGAGGTATAATTGAATGAAGTCGGGTGCATTGAGGTATAATTGAATGAAGTCGGGTGCAGTGAGGTATAATTGAATGAAGTCGGGTGTAGTGAGGTATAATTGAATGAAGTCGGATGTAGTGAGGTATAATTGAATGAAGTCGGGTGTAGTGGGGTATAATTGAATGAAGTCGGGTGTAGTG